TGTGTGTGTGTATATATATATATATATATATATATATATATATATATATCTTTTCACACATACTCATCCTGTCCAGTTTTCCTTTATTATATATGTTTTAGTCTATAGACTGGTAAAAGTGTACAGGGATTACTTTAGTACTAATAATTCTACTTTAATAATAATTATACGCAGCCAGATTTGGATTTGATCTCCTGTGTTAATCGGAAAATGAATTCCAATATTACTTTCACCGTTTTTAGGATATAAAAAATGCTGATATCCACTTCTTTACAAATGCTCAATTCAGTTATCTTTTTCTTAATGATATTTATTAAGTAATAAAAAGCACAGAGAGTATAAAGGAACTAGAGCAATGCCTTTACAAATCCTTTTTTTTTACCTAAAGGAATGCTCTTAGTAATTAGTTAGTGCGTTCTGAATTTCAAGATTTTTTTCATTTCGAACGTTCAACCCGAAATCTTTGATTAATGCTAAAAAATCTTATTCATCGCTTCACAAGATACTTCTTATTGGTTTTATACATTTAAATTAAAATGATGGCTTCTAGAAGTAGAAATATTGACTGTCAAAAGTGTATTATCTTTTTTCCTTGTTTTTCGCTTGGGGCGGGTCCTTAAACGATACTAAAACATATCTATATGGTCGATATTAAGTGAAGGTTTGTCCAACGAGTTGCTGTTTAGTATGTTCATAGTGATCCTCTGTAGATAAATTCTAAACGTACTGGAATGAGCCTTGAAACTCTATATTAGACCAAAGTAAGACCAAGTTAAAGAAACCGTAGAAACTTATTCGGATTTACACATATTCAATGAATAAATGACATGTGTTGTCTTTAAATACACTCTTATCACTAAATAATAGTACTAGTTAATTACTCTATGCGAATCTTTTTGCTTTTCGAATATCAATTTGATTAATTTTGAAGCTAATTGGATTAGATTAACTCAAAATTTTAAAGTTAGATATTCAAATACTATAGGAAAAGTACTATAGATTGCAATTCTTCTCAAGCCAATATTATAAAAAATATATTTTAAAATATTAGTCAAAATTTACACCGTTTGAATCTCAAAAACAAAAAAGGTTCATATAAACTGAAACAAAGGGAATAATACATATTCTCACTTTAATTTATAATTTAACTATGATAAATTAGCACGATAAATATAAAGATGGGATGTGGATAATTGTTTTTAAAAAAAAAAGAAACAGAGACTTAGAGACAAAACCAACCAGGTACTCAAACAACATTTGACAATCAGTGAATCCAACTGTTTCCTAACAGACATAACGAGATTCCTGAAACGTGGCACCCATCCCTCAACTACTGCACAACAAGACCAATAAGCTAGGAACAAGTGAATCCAATCCCTCTCTTCAGTAAATTCAATTGACCAACCTGTCAATATATTTTCTTATTTTTTTTCCTTTCATATTATCACCCAAAAATAAAACTTAAGAAAAAGATATATATGTCCAACCGTCTAAACGCGTAATCATAATCCAATACAGACCCAATGAAGATCATTCGAAGCTGTTTCTCTTCTCCTCTTTCTCCTTCCTCTCTTCCTCAAATACCTTCCATTTCCTCACTCATTCATCCTCCTCCAGCTTCCACCATTTTTTATAAATACTCGTGACAAAACCTAAAAACATTTAATTTCTATTACACACTTATCTTCAATGGTTGGTTTTGCAAAAATGGGTTGGCTTAGTACAGACAATAATAAGAGCTTGATAATGGGAGATCATAGTCTTTCTAACAGCGATTCCAATAATAGAAAGGCCAACCAAATGGGAATCTTGGCATTTGAGACGGCGAAAATCATGTCAAGATTACTCTGTTTGTACAAATCTCTATCCAATGCTGAGATTTCAAAGCTGAAAACAGAGATGAGATCACAAGGAGTTGCATATTTGAATTCCAAAGATGAAGGATTTCTTTTAAGCCTCGCGTGTGCTGAGAGGCTTGAGGATCTTGATAAAGCTGCGGCTGCTGTAGCACGATTAGGCCATAAATGCAATGATTTTGGCTTGAATCGTTTTGATCTTGTGTACACGGATCTCAAGCTAGGGATTATTGATTTTGGGAAACTGGAATATGGGTCAAAGGAAATTGAAAAAAGAGTTGACAAAATGGAGAAATTGATTAATGCCACGTCTGGTTTGTACGCAGCATTGGAAAATTTAACAGAATTGGAGATATCAGAGAGGAAAATGAAAAAATGGAAGGAGAAAAAAACAGCAGGGCAATTGCAGAAAGTGAATTGCGACATGTTTAATCAGAGACTAGAACAGCAAAGGAAGCAGGTTCGACAGTTAAGAGAGATTTCATTGTGGAGTCAAACGTTTGATAAAAGTGTTGGTCACATGGCACGTATTGTCTGCATAATTTACGCACGAATTTGCGTCATTTTTGGTCCTTATATTCCTGTTCTTCCCTCTGTTTCATTGCGTAACATGCGTTCATCTCAGCAAAAAGAGATTCTTAAAGTCCAACCAGAGAATTGTTTGATCGAACCAATAAGGGAACAGATTATTTCGAGGTCCGGGCCGATTCCCACGACGTCTAAACCTACTTTGGTACGATTTTACAGCCGAAAATCGATATTTTTCCTATGTGAAGATGAAGGTTTTGGATCGGAAAAATTGGCGAAAAACAATAGGGTGTTTCATGCAGCAGGGCCTTCAACCGTAGGTGGTTCAGGGCTCGCGCTACGTTATGCTAATGTAATAACATTAGTAGAGAAGTACTCGAATCCATCCGAATCGGTAGACCTTAATTCACGAGAAAATCTGTACCAAATGTTACCGGAAAACCTGAAAAAAACAGTGAGATCAAAATTGAGCAAGAATTTGAAATGTATGGATGAGGACGAATCGTTGGCCGAGGGGTGGAGGGAGGCATTGAAACATATAATGGAATGGCTAGCGCCAATGGCTCATAACACTATAAATTGGCAGCTTGAAAGGAATTTGGAGAAGACTAAGTTTGATATTAAGCCTTCTGTTTTGTTGTTGCAGACGTTGCATTATTCGGATAAAGAGAAGACAGATGCTGCCATTGCTGATATTTTAGTTGGATTGAGTTGCATTTATAAGTGTGAGAATCGCCAATGGAGTGAATCTTGATTTGGTGATTTTTTTGAGAATTGGTGAATTTTTCAATCATATAGTTAGTCATGGCAAATATTAGCTAGGATTCATTGGGTTGTGGAAAAGAAATTGGAGTACTTCCTTTTATACAAATATACTTTTTCTTGATTTCTTTTTCCAATGGTCCTAATTTTTTTAGCAGGATACCTGCAATAGTTTCATGCTGAGTTGTATATATGATCTCTTCATTTTCCAAGATTTTGATTTAAGATTAATTCACTCTTTTTCTTGTGTAAATATGAATAAACTCATGAGAAAGAAACCAAGCACTCCAAATTGGGTTGCATAGTAATGTAAATATGAATAAGAGCCGGTCCTTAGTCACTTGCCAAAAACATATAAACCAATCCTTAATTACAAGTTACAACACAAATTGAAACAGTGACACATATAACCAAACTTTTTAGGAAAATGAAAAAACAAACAACAACAACATTGTTTACCGTCAAAATCGGATAACAATTGAATTTATACGCGATTTTAAGGATAGGTGATCTAATTTGATACAAAGCTAGAATTCAGATTTAATATGGAAGAATAAATAGACCTCGTAGGGTTAACTTCCTTCGAATTTAGATGTGATATTATTGAAGCCAGAAATACATGAACAAAGCTGGAAAAAATAGTATGTTGTTCTTTGAAGTATGTTACAATGTTTTTCTAAATTACTCAGTTTCCTCTATATGTTTGGGAGATGAAGCTTTTAAGACATTACTTTATAAGAAATTATGTAGACCGTTGACTCCTTTTTTGACTTAATTCTGTGATTTGTGCCATAATAATTGGTTAATGGCGAGAATCACGGATCCTTATCGGATGAGTTGGCGAAGCTTTTCTTCGAGGCCGTCAAAAGCAGGATCGGTCATGCCTTCGGTAAACTCGAGGGCAAATCTGATGGTCTTGTCAAACTTCGAACCTCGATATTTTGGCCTTCTGTTATTTGGCTCAGCAAATTTCCCTCGATCTTGTTCGGACTTGATCTCGTTCGGTCCCGGGGTTACGAGCTCAATGATGTATCTTCGCATCGTGGTTTGATATAACTCCAGATCGGGCTTTAACCTGTCATATTTTAATCTCGATTGGTCACACAAGAGGCGAACCCGATTTCGACTGTATACAGATAGCCCCCTCATTTTTTGGAGAGAAGATGACGAGAAACGATGTGAACTTCCGAATCCCGCTTCGATGGATCATGATGTAAGCGATAAAAGGTTACTGAAACGTCTTGTCGGTCCAGTTACCAAGGCATTAAATGCATCTCAGTTATTGGTCGGCCATTACGGGTTTTGAACCGTCATTAGCAGACTATAAATATCCCAACTTTCATTCCTTCAAACTTTACGTTCAAAGCTTCTTCTATTCTTGTTCTTCAAAAATCTATTCACTCTCCAACTTTTGTACCCAAATTTCTTGAACCTTTTGCAAACCACTAAGCGTACCTTCTTAATTTCCTCTTATTCATCTCTACTCTAAAATGGCGAAAACTTCTAAGACTGTCCCCACAAAAAGAGGCTGCCTCTTCATCACGACCTACCGGCGATGGGGTTGTGGCGGAACCACACCCTGAGGAGTTCGTTCCTACAAGGTGCCCGACCGTTGCTGATTTCAAGGTCAAAAAAACTTCCTCGGTACTAGGTCGGTGTGAGCCGGTCTCGAGATATATATGTTCTATGATCGAGGATCTCCTTTCCAAGGTAAAAAAGATTGCAACTGGGCAAATAAGCATGTGGTGGTGCCTTCGCCTCAAGAAGAAATTACTACCCACGTGGAGGATTTTCACCCCTTCATGTTGGGTCCCTTAGATCCGGTCATTATCGCCTTCTACAAGAGGTACGAGGTGACCCTCGATCAAACTTACCCCTCATTCTAGAGGATAGTAATTCTTCTTCGTTTCTTTGTAAATAAAATCGAGGGGTGTTCCTTCACCCTCGATCATCTTATGCGCATGTACAATCCCTCAATCTATCGAGGGGGTTTGATCAAACTTGCTCGTTAGGCGAGTAAGGCCCCGTTCTCGAGTATAGATGAGGCTCGGGACTGACGCTGGATGGGCCGATTCGTTCGAATAAAGACGTCGGACTTGATCCATGCCGAGGACATGCCAGTTCCCGAGAAATGGAACATAAAGCGTAAGTACAGCTTCGCCTTAAAGATTTTATTTATTGTTTCTCCCCTTCCCTCATTTCTTATCGGTGTTTTTGTGGTGCAGCTGTGGCTCAGATGCTGGATGTCGTTCCTCAACTCAAGGTGTGGGTCGAGGAATTTGTGTCACAAAGACCATATTCCGAGCACGCTTTGATGTAATTGTCGAAGGGTCTGTGGGAGGCCCGTAACCATGGTAAGTTTTCTTTTTTGATTCAATAATGTTTGACTTTCTCCTTGCGCTATCGAATTCTTATCGGTTCTGTTTTCTTTTATAGGTCTCCTCAAAGATGTTGTTATAAGGAATCCATCCGGTGATTAGGATGTGCCTAGTAAGTCCCTTGCTCCGAGGCAGGGTGATGAGAAGAAAAGGAAAAGGTCCCCGATCTCTCTGGACTCGGAAAATAAAAAACCAAAGAGGAGGCTGGTGCGTAAACTTAAGGAAAGTACCGGTGTCCTCCCATCGGACTCAATCCACTAACTGAGGGATGAGTCCGAAGAAGAAGAAGAAGAAGAACACAGTTCCGAGGTAGTGGCTCGGGTGTGAACTGCTTTGCCTCAAGCTGGGGAGGCTGCTGAGAAGGCATTGCCCGAGATCTCTGAGCCGAAACAGGATGCGGCTACTTTGTCTCAAGCCAGGGGAGTCGAGAGGGAGACCGGGGCCGACACTTCTCGAACAGAGGAATGTGCCTCAAAATATGTGCTTGGGGCGATTAACCTTACCAGGTCTCCTCAGTTCTCCGATGCCATGATCCACGAGGCCGGTATGCTAGAAGGTCATTCTTATGAAGGGCCTCAAAGTGTGATAGATATTCACAACTTCTTGGATGGGTTAGAGTCCACTGCCTCAAAGGACGTTACTGGGCTCAGTGACTTGCCGGTGCCAAAGAAGGTACCATCATCAGGGACCAGTGGGTCTTCTTCGAGCCCAAAGTTGGTGGATCGGTTCCCAGCCCCGAGCATTAACCTAGACCAAAGGCAGTCAATAGTTTTCTCTATCCTGGAAGATTCCCAGATTTTCTCTACCCTCGTGGGGGTTGGTAGCTATCTTCGGTGCTTGATGACCGAAGAGGACCAGGTCGTGATGAACACGGTGGAAGCGACATGCCTTTTTAATGAATCTCAACAGGCTTTGAATCGGGTAACTTCGAGTGTCCCTTTATTATGTATTTTAAATTTGAAGTTGCAAATAGTCATAACACTTTTCTTTATGCTTGTAGGCCTCGGTATTGCACCATGAGACTTTCCTCCGATTCCTGGAGGAGTTAACCCAACATGAGGCCGAGGTTCAGGAGCTTGCTGAGAAGAGGGACTCCTATAAGCTTCCGAGTGAGAAACTTCAGGCCGAGTTAGAAGCGGCTCTGAAGGAGCATGTCGAGTGGGCCGAGCAGGTAAACCGAGTACCTGAAGGTAGTGACGACGAACTGGATTCAGTGACTAATGATCCGATTCTGCAGGTTCCACAAAGGCTTGAACAAATCGGGTAGCTCTAGGAGTAGGTAGACATGATACAAGTTGAGGCCGAGGAGTTCAAGAAAAATATGGATCTCTTATCCTAAAAAAAAGAAGTTGTCCAAACAGAGCTGACATAGGCCGAGGCCCAGCTTCGGGCTGCAAAAGAGAAAATCTTGGTGCAAGTCAAGAAGATCGATGGGCTTCAATTTCAGCTAAACTCGGCAATTTCTAGTCAAGAGAATCTGGCCAAGGAACTCGAGGCGGCCAAATCAGGGGTGCTTGTGGTCGAGACCGAGGCTGATGCAAAAGTGGCCAAATTTAAGGTTGACATCGAGGCTATTCATTCGCAGGCTAAAGGTATGGTAGACCATGAAAGGTTGCAAGCTCGAAGGGAAGCTTTCGAGGGAGTCCATGCTCAGAACTTCGACCTATTGGTTGAAATCGAGAATGCCAAAGTAGAAGAAGCCAGGGCCCGGAAGCTGGATTTTACCGAGGAAGCTTCTGAGAGCTTAACCGAATTTGAAGGCGGGGAAGATCCCAAGGATGAAGATTCCGCCATCGATGAGAAACAAGCCGCTTAGGCCTTTCGAGTTTTTTATTTTTTGCTTTTGCGTCTTTTTGAGGCCGTTTTGGCCATTTTAGATTTCTGTATCTGGCAATTCTGGCCTTTGGAAAAAGATTATATATATATATATATATATATATATATATATATATATATATATATATATATATATATATATATCTCTTT